TCACATTGAGCAAATTATTAGCTTTTTGGTATTATTACATATCATAATTGCATAAGAAATATGGGAATATAGTAAGACTTCCGGTAGACGTAGAAATAAATGAAAGTATTGATTCCCCAAATATTTGTTGAGTGCCAACTATATTGGAGGTGGCCTATCATTATCAGTTTCAGCTGTCCTATTAAAATAGCTTGCATTAGTTACTAAATCAGAGCATACTCCCAAAATTGTAAAGTCTAGATTCATCTAGGTATGTTGTATCTTAGCAGCTATTAGCATTGGTCACTTGACAAATCAACTCAAGAAAAATTTACCCGGGTAAAACTGTGCTGCTGCAGGTCATATTACCAGAAGTCCACTAGGCCGGGCTCAGAGCCAGTTTCCCAATTGATATTTAATTTTTATAAAGCCTTTCTTGAGCACCCCCATAATAGAAATACTGTCAATGCACATTAGTCTTCACTTATCATGAGCGTGTGTACCACACCTTTATAAAGAGTACCCCTTTGATTTATATGAAATCATTTAAAAACATTAGTGAAATTAAGCTTTCCTGTTTGAATTCTGGAAAAACTGAAGTGTTTGTGCATGCTTCATCTTATGACTCCCAATAATGTCAAGTGGCCAATCTGGTTAGGAGAATTGCAGGAGAAAGAGAGCTAAATAGGCAAACTCACTTCATAGTTTCTGAGTTTTCGAAGACAGACTTGTAATACAAAGCCATGTGCAGATCATTTCCTCTGTGAACTGGGTCTCTGAGGACATAATATAGATAGTACTGTGCAGTAGAAATATAGTATGAGCCATGCATGTAATTTTTAAATTTCTAATAGCCACATTATAAAGAGACCCTTGTTAGATGAAATTTAACCTCATTTTTTAGCCCAATATATCAAAAATATTATAATTTCAATATGTAATAATCAGTATAAAAATTATGAAATATTTTACATTTTTTTCCATACTGAGTCTTCCAAATCAGGTGTGTATTTTATGCTTACGATACATCCCACTAGGGACTGGATAGATTTCAGATGTTCAACAGCTGTAGTGCTGACTCTTCTGGACAGTGGCAGTCTCAAATTTGATTTTCTGAATGTGAAGCCATCTCTGGGTTTGTAACCAATGACTGAAATTTTGCCTTTGATCAGAAATTGCCACTGTTAAGCAGTGGCATAATATTTAATAATCACTGTAACTGAAGACATTTCTTCAGCAAAAAAAATTGTCTTTTATATGTCTTTTACCGGACATGTCTGCACAATATCAAAAGTATGAGAGATAATTAGAGAGTGGGACTCTTCCAAAAGAATTGTGATAGAGGATTTGAGAGGTGTGGGGTGTCCAGGTCCTTGCAAAAATCTGGGGTTTGAGAAGTGTGGTGAAATTATGGGGTGAGATTAGGGAGAAGGTTATCAGTAAATCTAAATACTGTGTTTTCTATAGAAGTTATTTTTCTGTATTCAGTGAAATCTTTGATTTAGCCATCTAAGGAAAAAAACCGTTTTAAATTCCAGACAAGTGGAACATGAGCTCATTACTTTCACATCTCTCTACTAATTTAACATTGTGTTAATGGAGTGCATCAAAGCTGTCCTTTGGGTGTTTTAATGGAGGAACTGGGAATTTTTTCTTATCCAAAGCCACTGGTCCATGGTGGGGGGGGGGGACTTCATCCAGGTTACACAGTCAAGTAAAATACAAGCTCGTTTAGTTTTTCTAGGAAGGAATATAAAATGGCCAAGGGACCTTCCTTCTTAATTTTTTTTAAAGTAAATTCTACACCCAATGTGAGGCTTGAACTTACAATGCCAAGATCAAGAGTTGGATGCTCTACCAACTGAGCCAGCCAGGCGCCCACAAGGGACCTTGTGTAAATGTTAAGAACAGTAGCATTAAATTGGGAAGTCCTGTTACATTTCATGAAGAGTTACAAACACAGATTGTTTGAATGAGGAAGCTTAGAAAAACCCAATTCAGGCAGTGGAGGAGAGGTCCATTTGGTTCCTAGTGAACCACCAAACCTAATGCTTAGTGGATGTGGAAGCAACTGGCCAAGGCCAGGGCCCACAACACATCTCTCACACTGGCCTGGAGCAGGCCTTGTCCTGAGCAGCCTCCCTGGGGGCACATGAGCCAAGGGTCATTTACTCTCTTTATCTGTGGAGGAGACCCCCTGGTAATACATGAGTTCTTTAATAATTAAAGGCAGCTGTCAACTGCTAATACGAGAAAACCCTGAGAGTGCTTTGACACAGATGCAGGAAAATGTATGGTGGGAAAAAAGTGCAATGGACCCATACATCCACCAGCATGGAGAGAACAAGCCTTAAGGGTGTCATCTGCCTCTCCCATCTCCATCATATGTCAGAAGCATGGTGCATTGTAAACTCTGAGCACCCCTGGGCTGTGTTTCCCCAACTTGTGAGGTCTTTCATAAAATCATAATTTAAAAGGAGCTAACCAGTGTGTTAGCTTTAGGGTTATTTCAGCCAAGATTTTATGTAAAAGCTTTGGGTCTATGATAGTGTCTGCTTTGATGTTGTTTGCTGATGATCACCAGCAAATCCCCTCCCCCCCAAATAGTAAGTTCCAATAAATATGTAAACACTCAGATACAATCATTGGTTTAATGGGGTTTGCTCATAATTGTGATCTTTCAGTTTCACATCCATGGAATGTTATTAATTTCTGCAAGTGAAATGACCATGGGTTGGATTGATGGGGCTCTGTATAGCAATATAGAATGGTTTTCAGTAATGAGAAATTAGCTTTCAAGCACTGTGCTTCCTGAAGAGTTGGAAAGGTGTTAGAGCAGAGCATAGCCAAACCCTGACATCTAGGGAAGCAGGTCTGGGCTCACCCTGAGAAAGAACATTCCAACAGCCCAGAGTTTAAGGACCAAAATGGGTCCTTGCAGAAAGAGAATACCCATCCCTGAAGTTATTGAAGTCAAGACCACGTGGCCCCCTGCTGGAAGCGTCTTAGATTCCAGCACTTCCATCCCTGGTGCAAGGGAGGTTATCTGCACAGCCTCTAAGAAGCACTGCCATTATTCCTGCATTGTGGTTCTAGGATTTGTTGACGTCTTGCCCCTTTTTGGTAGACTAAGACAGTAATTTCATTCACCAACCACGTGTTGCCTTTCCAGTGTCAGTCAGGTGTTGTGGATTCCTACAACAAAAGTTTGAGTTGCTCCTACGAGCCAGGCATGGTACCAGGGATGCAGCTGGGAGCAAGCTTCCTATCTAGGGTGATGCTCTCCAACCTATAGCAAGCAGCAGAAGCATCTGGAAGCCTGGTTAAAAGGCCAGATGCTAGGCTCCACCCTCACATTTCTGATTGCACAGGTTTGGCTGGGGCCTGAGACTCTGCATTACTAACATCATCCAAGGGCAGATGCACAGACCACCCGTTGTCAGTACCACTGGTTCACAGCAGTGGTCCCAATTGCAGGTGATTTCTGCCCCCCTCCTCCCAGGGATATTTAGCAAAACCTGTGATGTTTTTGGTTGTCAAAACTGAGGCCCAGGGGTGCTGCTGGCATCTAATGGGTAGAAGCTAAAGATGCTGCCAAACATGCACGTGGTTAAAGAAAATGTGAAAGATACGTGACTTTCTTTTTTTTTTTTTTAAGATTTTATGTATTTATTCATGAGGGACAGAGAGAGAAGCAGAGACAGGGAGAGAGGGAGAAACGGGCTCATCACAGGGAACCTGATGTGGGACTCGATCCCCAAACCCAAGGACACTCCCTGAGCCAAAGGCAATGCTCAACCGCTGAGCCACCCAGGCATCCCGATACATGACTTTCTTCCTTCCACTGTCCAAAATTTTCTTCTTAGAACTGTTCAGAAACTACTGTGGTTGGTTTTGTGCATGTTTTCCCGATACGTTTTGCATTTACAAGAATGTTTATGTAATTTTTAACACAAATGGCCAGGTATTCTATGTAACTTCTCCCCTCTCAAATGTATCAGTAGGTAGGTAATGTTGCTCCCATTTTATAGATGAGTCATTGAGACTGTGAGTGTCAATTTGCTCAGGGTCACATAGTAAACAGCAGAGCTAGAATTTGGACCAAGAGTTGTGGTTTTAATCAGAACGGAACCAGGATGCATAGGCAGCCCAGGCAAGCTAATGGTTTTGCTCTCTAAGCAGGTTCACTTTGCCCTACTTCATACCTGTCTTTCTGGAATGTTTGTTTACCATCCACATGGGTGAGGAGGTGAAGTCTTTACAAAGGAAGAATGGAGATGGACACCACATGTGGCCTTTCCTCCTTTTAAGCAGTTCAGCTCTGGCCCCCAAATTGCAAATATCCCCCACCAAACAGCATGGAGCCAGACCCTCCTTTTCCAGAAGTCGGTTCCAGGACTTTCCGTGATTCCTTGAGCTCATTCCCACCTCAGTCTCCTTACTCCGGGGTTCACACTCCGAGTGATGTTTTGGCTTGAGTCTCCATTGAGGTCAGCAGCCCAGCCTGACCTGTGCAGTTCCCTGGACTCATGTGCAGTTGTCGGGTTTCTCAGGGCCCCTCAGCCATTGCCCTCACCGCTGTGCTGACAACAGCAGTCACTGCTATGGTCAGCCTATGACCAGATGGAGTGCCTACACTCTCAGGGGAGTGTGCAATACAACTTGCCAGAGTGGCCTGTTAGGTGACTGTCAGGTCGGGCAGAAGGAACTTGGCCCAAGGGAACCTTCGATGAGCTATCTCTGTGGCCAGAGCTTTGCTGGAATGCCTCCCAGAGGCCGGGGGCACCTGCTAGGGTCTGCCTGAAGAGTGGGTGTGTATAGCATTTTGAGGGTGCTGTCTAACTAGAAATGCAGAATGTAATATACTTGCCTACAGAGAAATGCTACCAGAAGACCAAACTCTTTTCTATGCAAGGGAGGTTGTGGCTATTTTACGGTACATGCTTAGAATTTTAGTTCTTGATGCTAACAAGTCTGAGCTGTATTGCATGACTTTTATGTTTCTCACTTCTCTTAATCAGCAGGTAACAAGGAGGGAACACATTCTACATCCTGGGTGTTGCTGAGTATCCTTCTGGGAGCAGTGGCCATGCTATGCAAAGAGCAAGGGATCACCGTATTGGTAAGAGCCGAGATGCAGTCAGGGCCTGCCCTTCTTCCCCTGTGGTAGAGACGTCTTGGGCTAGCCCTGCCTCTACTTCTTCACTCCATTGATCTTTCTGCCAGTTATTTGTGCATTTAGTACATCTGATATTTCATGGAAATGGGCTGTCTCAGTTGAAGATCATTAGCAAACAGTGGGAAATGGGAAGTGGGAAGGACTTCAAGACAATGATCGGCTCCTGGGGTACCTGGGTGGCTCAGTCAGTTGTGTTGTACTTATGGTTTCAGCTCAGGATGTGATCTTGGGGTCATAAGATCAACCCCTGTGGGGATCCCTGGGTGGCTCAGCCTTTGGCCCAGCGCGTGATCTTGGAATCCTAGGATGGAGTCCCACATCGGGCTCCCAGCATGGAGCCTGCTTCTCCCTCTGCCTATGTCTCTGCCTCTCTCTCTCTCTTTCTCTCTCTCTCTCTCTCTCTCTCTGTGTGTGTGTGTGTGTGTGTCTATCATGAATAAATAAATAAATAAATCTTTAAAAAAAAAGAAAAAAAGATCGACCCCTGTGAGGCTCCACACTCAGCATGGAGTCTGCTTGAGGAGTCTCTCTCCCTTTCCCTCTGTTCTTCCCACTCGTGCACACACTCTCTTACTCTCTCTCTCTCTCCAATAAGTAAATCTTAAAAAAAAAAAAAAAGACCATGATTAGCTCTCACAGAGGTATACTGTAGAAAAAGAGAAAAGAGGAACAGAATGCCTGGGTGGCTCAGTGGTTGAGTGTCTGCCTTTGGCTCAGGTCATGATCCTGGGGTCCTGGGATTGAGTCCCACATCAGGTTCCCCGCAGGGAGCCTGCTTCTCCCTCTGCCTATGTCTCTGCCTCTTTCTGTATCTCTCATGAATAAATAAATCTTAAAAAAAAAAAGAGAGAGAAAAAAATAATTTAAGTTTTCTAGGGTGCTCTCCTATTTTAGCAGTTCTGAATACAACAGTGGGCTGACCCCATCAATGCTTCCAGTCCCGATTAGAGAAGTATTGAGTGTATGTTGTGCTCAGCTTCAACTGGAAATATCAAAAGGAAAGGAGGAGCCTCTGAAGAGTACAGATGTACACCTCTTATGTCTGATTAGAATTGAAGCTCCAGGGAGAGAGAGGCATTGAAATTCATTTTCTTTTTTTTCCATTCTAGCCAATTTTATGCTTGACATTATTAGAGGAAAATGTAGAAATTAGGGATGTGATCACAGGTAGAGAAATGGAAAACAAAGATATGGGATTTGAATCACCCATATAGGAATAGCTTGGGAAAGAAAGAGCAGGTAAAAGCTGTATGGGATTTGATGTAAGTCAAAGCAAAGACCCATGGTTTTATTAGGCTCAATCTATATTTTTATTTTTTTAAGTTATTTTTTTAAGTTGGTTCTAAGGCAGTGTTTCTCAGTCTTGGCATTATTGATACTTTGGGCTGGATCATTCTTTCTTATGGGAGGGCTGTGCTGCACATTATACCACAGTAAGCGACATCCCTGGCCTCTACCCCCTAAACGTCAGGGGGACTCCCTCGGGTGTGACAACTTAAAATGTCTCTAGACATGTCAAGTATCCTTCAGGTGGCAAAATCATCCACTACTCTAAACCCTTGCTTCTCAAAGACCAGCAGCATCAACACCATCGGGCACTTACTAGAAATTTAGGATCTCCAACCCCACTTTAGACCTGCTAGGTCAAAATCTCCATTTAACAAGATACAAAGTGGCTCCTGTTAATGTTCGAAAAGCACTAAAGGATTAAGTTGAATTTATGTGACTAAAGATATGGTAAAATTTAGCTATTTCCAAAAATTTAATTAGAATGTGGAACTTAAAAAAAAAGAATGTGGAACTTTTGATGATGCATTTATAAATGGCAAGTTGGAGAGTATGAAACAGAAGTGACGACAGGTCCCCTCACCCCTTGGTGATTGTCCTATAGCACATAGGGAGAAAAACAAATGGTATAAGACAACAGCAGCTCAACAGGGAGCTTCTGCCTTCTAGAAAATGGTTTTATACCCAGGCAGAAATGGTCCGCTGTGACCCACTAAAATCCTGTATCACATGAGTGGATAAAATCAGAATTCTTTGACATGATTAACCCAGCACTAGCCTATGTATTAGATAATTAATGGCTTCCAGCATTTATGGGAGAGTGTTAAGTAGGGGTGTCATCCTTGCTCTGGAAGCCACAAATTACCACTGGCTTCTGATGATTTATGAACTTTTCCACCACAAGGCTCCATATTAAAAAGGCCAAAGTCATTTAGGGGGAACTTTAACCATATACGCCACATGTATTGTGACCACCTTATCTAGATTGGGCAGGGAGTTCCAGAAGATGACAATGCCTGCAGCGATGGCATCTATAGAAAGTCTCCTACAGAGTAGAGAAGGGAATCCAAGGCTCATCTAGCCTCCAGTCTATAATTGTAGGTATAGTAGTTCCAAAAGCAAACCTCACCTACTAGAAAGAAACTATTTTAGTGCTACCGGAAGCTGTCAGCAGAGGTGGAACTATAGTATCACGTCCTAAAATCCAGTGGCTTCAGATAATGGAAGTTATTTATCGTTCACCCTAGTGGCTATGGGCAGAGGTGGCTGTTGTCCATATAGTGGACCCAAGCTCGTGGAGGCTCTGCCATCTTGAGAATGTAGTTTCCAAAGTTGACCCAATGGTGTCCATCCCAGCCAGCGGGAAGAGGAAACCAAGTGGCAGAGTGTGCCCAGGTTATAACCAAACCTCCAAAATGAGCTTTATGGCTTCTACCCATGTTCTGGAGGCTGGAACTCAGTTATGTGACCACATGTAACTGCTGGATTGGCTGGGAAGTGCAGTCTGGCTGTGTGCCCAGTGAGAACTGAAAACCAGCAGACAGCTAGGAGTCTGAACCTGAGAGATCTCCAAAGCCCTATCAGAGATTATTATGTATGGTGTACCCCTGCTACTACTCCACATGCTGAAATCAGTGAGCACTTGGTGTTCTGGAGGTGCAATTAATTACTTATGTGCCTTGATTTTCGAGGTTGATGGCTGCCTTTATTTTTTGAGGCATAATTACAGTGCAGGGAACCCCTCCATTATATCAACTAAGAGTCTTTTATAGTGAAAGAAAAACAAGGACCTCTGCAGAACTTCTCCTGGGAACCCCAAAATTCCAGCTATCCTGAATCTTAAAAGACTCATACATGTAGGCTGTGAAATTATGACCAATAGGGATATCTTTGATAATAAATTTGATATATCACCATGAGCTGGTTTTATAGGAACAATAGTAGAGTGTCTGTTTTAGAGCTGAAGACACCTTCCGTGATTATCTTATCCACTGCAGTTTTTGTTGGGATTCAGTAATAAAATTATGAAGTATAATTGCTGCCTAATCAGAGCTAGGCTCTCCCATCACTGATTGCCTTGCTTTGCTTCCTCAGGGTTTGAATGCAGTCTTTGACATCTTGGTGATAGGCAAATTAAATGTTCTGGAAATGGTCCAGAAGGTACTACATAAAGACAAATCATTAGAGGTAAGTATATACTTTTGTCTCCAACCCAGACTTGGAAAATGTCAAGTACCAGCTGATTTAGAAATGCCATTTTCAAAATATTTCTTGTGGTTCTGATTTTTAAAATAACTAGCCGTTTTAAGCACAGTGTCACTGTGGTTCAGTCAGTATGCTGCATGTTTGCACCTAGCTTGGCTGCACTTACGTTTGAAAATCTGCACCATCAGGGGCTTTGTATTGTCCTTTCAGAAAACTGGTATACTCAGGAATGGGGGCCTCCTCTTCAGAATGACCCTTCTGGCCTTGGGGGGCGCAGGGGTGCTCTACATGCGCTGGAAAATCATGGGTACAGGCCCCCCGGCGTTCACAGAGGTAGACAACCCCGCTTCCTTCGCCGATGGCATGTTGGTCAGGGTGAGTGGTGAGCCTGCCCCCCCACCCCCGATGGATTGCCCACCAAATCTCAGAAAATTTGTCCTCCTCTTCTCACTTCCCAACACATCCACAAAACCCCTAATAAGTGGAACACCTCCACATTTGTTTGCTCTCACTAAGGATACTCTAGGATGAAACCAGAGTTTTATTAGGAGATTGAGAGGGTATAAGCCCTTTGTATTTCCATTCTAATCAAAATTAAAGAGAAATGATTCTTTCAAATATCAGGTTTCCTGCCAGCCTCACTAAAGTGTCCCCTGACCCCCATTACTTTTGTCATAAAGAAAATTGATATAGCAGGATTAAGACAAAATAGAAGCACATTGGTTATATCTTTAAACATCCAGCAGTATCAAGACTCTTTATTGTAAAGGTTTGCTTTTTCTGAAGGCAAGAGTGTCAAGCCACAAATTCTTAGCTGTGCATTTCATAGAGATAGAAATCAAAAGAAGGAAAAACCCTGTTCTTATATTGTCAGGCACATAGGTGACCCCTGGGCCTCAGATTTCCTGGGTCACAGACTTTGGGCATCACTAAGTAAATGGGACATACTTTGACCAGAAATATAACAGATGTACAACAGAGTCTGATGGCTTTGCTGTATTTTTGTCTGTTGTAATCCGAACACATTTAATAAATGGCAAACCACGGCCTCATGTCCAATGTAGAAACTGGCAGTATTTTATTTTCTACAATTGCTCTCCTTGAATAGAATGGATGCCTCAAAAATGAAGTTACAAGATGTGTATGTGTATGTGTGTGTGTGTGTGTGTGTGTGTGTATACATATGTATGTATTGGAAGTTCTGTATCAAATAAATGTTTGTTTTCCTTTTGACTGATAGGCCATAAACTATAATTACTACTATTCACTGAATGCCTGGCTGCTGCTATGCCCCTGGTGGCTGTGTTTTGATTGGTCAATGGGCTGCATACCCCTCATTAAGTCGGCCGGGGACTGGAGGGTAACTGCACCAGTGGCCCTCTGGTTGTGCCTAATTGGCCTAATATGCCAAGCCCTGTGCTCTGAAGACAGCCACAGAAGAAGGTAAGAGGCAGCACTGAATTTTAACTTCCACACTGGGTTAAGTCTGAGCATTTTGCTAAATCCAGCACCGATCATGTTCACAGTTTTGTCATGTCTAAGGACATTTATTTCCAATACATCCTTCCAGCCAGGATGAGTGCCGTCCCTTTGGAGTCCATTGCTGCTTTCAGCTGTTGGGGAGTGGACATGGAAGAGGGGGGATGGCTGACTACCCTCCCTTCTCCTTCCACAATCCCCTTGAAGTAGCATCTTGAGATCCCACTCACTGTAGGTGGTAGAGAGTAATTTATGGTCAGAATGGAGAGTGTAATTGATGTGTGCCATGCCCATTATTTCACAATTCTCCTTCAGAAAGCCCTGATGGATGCTCTAGTGTGATTCCTTCTGTTGTTGTTTAGTAGAAAAATAAACTGCTGCCCCAAAGAAACTATTCTTTCTTGCCAAAAGAGAGAGAAAGAAAGAGAGAGAGAGAGAGAAAGGTTATTGAGAAAATAATTGAGGAGGGAAGCAAACACGTTTCATGATAATGAAAACTATTTAAGGTGATTGATTCCCTTTAAGCATAAGTGTTTATGGAATTAGATTAGTAATATCTCAAAATAAAATAAGTTTTAAGTTTATTAAATTGTTTCATAATTCTAAAGAACAACTAACTTTAGTCCCAGCTTACTTATACATGTGCAATAGTATTTTTTTTCAGTCCTGGGGGCACAAGTTCCAGGAAAGAGCCACCAAATTTGACTTGACTTCTTAATTTAGTCTCTTGCATCACATGGGACACTGGGAATGTTGCCTGGTTCCAGAAGTGTCTTCTTGTTCCACTTTCTTTTTGCTTGATTAACATTTGTGGTAATGTACCACCCAAAAAATGATTTCACTGATTTCAGATTTTTATAAAGTGTAAACTAGTAAAGTATTACTATTCCTCATAAGATTGAGGGGGGATTTTTTTTTCCCCATGAAAGCTCTATTGGACTAATTGGGACCAGTATTTCCTCTGATCTATTCAATGCTACATGGTTTGAGGTGAGGCTAAGGGTAGGTGAATTAATGAGGCCTCACACAATGTGATCATACTAATCTTACTCAGATGGATTGGGCAACTTACAAGTCCTATTCCAGTGTTTGATGCTAGGTGCATTAATAATGAGATTTTTTTTTTTTTTTTTTTTTTTTTTTACTTATCCCTAATCTTGCCAGGCTAAGCCCTGGGCCCTACTGATGACATTTCTTTGCTACTGCTGATACCTTTTCTCAATTGATGGCATGAAAACAAAACAAAACAAAAAGAGGCTTTTATGACTATTTTAATGTTGACAGGATTTTTTTTAAAGGTCTGAAAATAGCCATTTCAAGTACTTCTCATTTTCCAGGATCCTTACACTGGGCCTGGGATTTCTCATTATCCCATTTCTTCCTGCAAGTAACTTGTTCTTCCGAGTGGGCTTTGTGGTTGCAGAGAGAGTCCTCTACCTCCCCAGTGCTGGGTACTGCATGCTGCTGACTTTCGGATTTGGAGCTCTCAGTAAACACACTAAGAAAAAGGTATTGGGCCCAGAGTGGCGCCATTCATAACCAAGACGATTGGACAGATCTTCCTTATGACATTTACTGTCTCTCTCTCTTCCTAAGAAATTGGTTGCTGCTGTTGTACTGGGAATTTTATTCATAAACATGCTAAGGTGCATGATTCGCAGTGGCGAATGGCGGAATGAAGAACAGCTTTTTAGAAGTGCCCTGTCTGTGTGTCCTCTCAATGCCAAGGTATGTTGGCTGCCATGTTTCTTTAGAAAGACTTCATTAGGATAGGCTTTAAGTTCAACTTATCAAGAGGAATGTTTACCTTCACACAGAATCTAGCATAAGACCATGACCAAATACTTGTTTTTTTCTTCAGTTTTGTTAATGATTTTGATAAAACTTATTACAATTCCACTTGACCAAAATAATTCAGAAGAAATCATTACAACCAATGTCAGTGAAACTGTAATGAAGTTTTGCTCATCTTCCAGTTAGTCCAGTCAATCACCCTTTGAAATGGTGGCAGAGAAGTAACCACACACATCTAGACTGTGGCTGGGAGAAGGACAGAGTAGGAATTTGTTTCACTTGTATTTTTGATGAATCCAGTCTCTTCATTTAACCAGCTATGCCTTTTTGGGCAAAATAAACTGTTTTGAACTTTCAGTGCCCTTATCTATAGAGGGGAGATAATGTCTGTCTCCCAGGTTTGTTGGGAGGCCTTAATGAAATATGGCATCCAAAGAGCCCTAACATGGTAGTTAGAACATAGTAGGTACTCAAGAAATATTAGCTTTCTGGGGTTCATTTTGGTTTTGGGTTGTGTCATTAAATGACAAGAAGAGAATGCTAGTTTCCCAAAATAGGAGAAATGGGTTTGGTTAGAATAATTTTCTATCGGTATATGGATTATTAATAAATAATGATATATTCTCTCTCAGGTCATCAGAATAGGAGTTCCTAGGATGCTTAAATGTGATCCTCTAGGGGGAGAAAAAGAGCTCTCTAGAGTTCTTTCTCATTTCCATATTCTATATTTAAGAGAAAGCAGTGATTTCAGACAAAATTATATGAATAAATCTAATGAAGAATTAACATCTTATTGTGATCCTGAATAAAGAATAGTATAAAAGGTGCTAACTCCTTGTTGTCTTTTTATTGAAAAAAAAAAGCTTGTTCATGTTTTATAGTTAAGAGACTTAGATAAGAGTGAATTACTTCAAGCTTTTCTCCTTAATTTGATTTGCTGATCTATCCATTTATTTTATGCTACTAAAAATAAATTGCCTGTGATTGAATTTCATAAATGTTAATAGATATGCTTTATTTTTGCTTTTCTGTTTGAATAGTAATAATTATCCCTTCTATTTATATAGTTCTTTCCCACAAGGAACTCTGATATCTTTGTAGAGGCTCTATAATTAATCTCTATTATCCTCCCTCTAAGATTTTTATAGATAGGGTTTTCTTTTCCTTACTTTCCAAATGGAAGAAACTGAGGCATAGAATGATGGAACTGATACTATCTAGATGACTAATTTAGGTGGTAGATAGAGACATGGTATGATATACTGCCCAGGTTATGCAAGTAAGTGAAGGGGAGGGGTGACGTACGTGATGTTTGAGCCTAAATGTCTGCCCTAGTAAGTGATTTCATATGTCATAATAGGTGATTTCCTATGTTAAAGGTATGCACACATGGGCAGACAATCATGTCTGCATGTGTAGGGTTTTTTTAATAAATTTAAGACATACATGTGGTGCCTGGGTGGCTCAGCTGGTTAAGCGTCCAAGCTGGTTAACCATGACCTGGTTTCAGCTCAGGTCATGATCTCAGGGTCATGGGATTAAGCTTTGCTCTGCACTCAGCATGGAGTCTGCTTCAGATTCCCTCTCCCTCTCTCTCCCACTCTCTCTCTCTCTTTCTCACATAAATAAAAGAAATCTTTTTAAAAATTTAAGACATAGATACAAAACCTCATCCTCAAAATGGACCCAGTGGTGAAAGTCCTTCCTAAGAACCTTTCTCAATGTTACCATTCAGTATAAGCAAGATAGCAATTTGGGGGGTTTCTTTATCTGTGTATTTGTTTCTCTTTCCACTATAAATTGCCATGTAATAAAATTATGTTTCCCTTTTTTTTCTTTTTGGAAAAAAGCTAGGCTGATTTCAGGGAAAAGACTGCATTTAGAAAGATGCTGTTTTCATTCAGCTCTGTTGCAGGAAATACATTTTCTATATTGGTTTCCACTTTATATTCATTGCATACTAAGTAAGTGTTTGGCACTTGGCTCTAGACTAGGCCCAGATTTACAAGCTGAGACTCATCTTTTCCAAATATTGTAATATCCATGTAGCTAAGGCCAGTGCCTGGTCTACAGTTAAATTACCCACACTGCCTTGCATGTGGTAGGCACTCAATATTAGTGATGGAATTGATTAACATGCAAATTAAACATCCTTAGCCTACAACAGATGCAATATCAAGGATTTAATTATACTTAGTCATTTTTCATTTTTAAGCTTTAAAACTGTGCCACTTTGTATCAATTCAGATACAATTCCAAATTCTTTTAACAATGAAAAGGATCATACGCCATGATGAGGTTATTTCCTTAAGGATGAGCCAGGATAGTTTATAGGACTTTTAATGTGTTTAAAACATTTTAGCATCAAGTGTGAGCAGAAAATTTGAAGCAAACTGGCCATAGCTCTGGTGTTAATGTGCCTTCCATTGTTGGTTCACCTGTCATGGGGCTAGGGTGGTGGGTTTTTTATTTGCAGTTTCTGTGCTGGTTTGATGCCTCAGCACATGAATCACAAAGGCTAGAGGCAAAGTTCAAGAACAAACAGGGTTTTTCAGTCTTTTACATTGTATGGAAACAAAACTCACTCATTCTTTAAACGCTGTTAGAAGTTTAGGAGGGTTCGGGTGTTTATCCTTTTACAATGGGTTATCTAGACAGCTGTTTTCCATATAGATACTTCCCTCCATATAACCCATAGGATGAGGCTGGCTTCTGGGCCAGCCTGTTTATATCAGTTCTTAATTATGGACAGCTTGCCTTCTAGGTCTGTGTCAGATTTTTTAAGTAGTTCCATGGAAATAACTAGAGTTTGAATTTCCAGAGCACTCCATCTTTCTCCCCTGATCTCCTGGCTGCTGTCATTCTGGGTGCCTAACAGAACACAATGTGTACTGCAGAGGGCAGTTGAACTCTTTGAGCTTTTTATTGAGAAAACAGAATTTCCCCGTAACAAAGAAAAGCAGAGGAGCCCAGGGGCGGAATGGGCCAGAGTCCTGTGAAAGTCTGAGTAGAAGCTGAATTTGTATTCTAGGGACCACACACCCACATTGCTCACCGGTTGGATTCTCCAGATTTGGCTGCTTTGTGCATGGGATGGGAGGTGAGGTAGCACATCGAGGCTGGGGCCAGGGCAGGGATAAGGTGAAACCATCTAGAGCCCACTTTTCAAAGCATGTGCTACAGCCATAGCATTAGCTACAATTTGAAGACGCTAATACCTATGAATGGACAATAATATGGGTCAAGAAGTTTAAATTATACCATATGCTGTGCAGTCCTGTACATTTCTATCACCTGTGACTTCCCTGCTTGTGATTCCTTTTTTCGGATTAGATAAAAGTAAATGTATAGGCTTTAAAATTGGCAGTTAAAAAACGAATCCCTGGTATGTATGTGCTTAAAAGAACATCGCACTGTGCCATACCCTTCCAGAAATACTACTATTTTTGAAGACAAGCTGTAACTGTAGGTTAAGATTGATACGGAAGGATGTGGTTATATTTCCAGAAGGGTTTTTGAAATATTCAATGTGATGCTACTTGAAATGCGCTTAAACCATTACCGTATTTCATGATATATTAATTGGCAGTTTAAATAAGAGACATTTATTTTCTCACAGTTCTGGAGGCCAGAAGTCCAAGATCAAGGTGTTGGCAGGGTTGTTTTTTCCTGAGGCCTCTACTCTCTTGATGTCCTCATGCGGTCTGTCCTCTATGTGTCCTTGATATCTCTCTGTGTCCCGATCTCTTCTTCTTACAAGGACAGAGGTTAGATTGGATCAAGGCCACCCCAATGGCCTCAAGTCAACTTAATTTTCTCTTTAAAAGTCTTGTCTCCAAATACAGTAACATTCTGAGGTACTGGGGGTCGGGACTTCAGCAGGCGAATATAAGGTGGGAGTGGGATACAATTCAGCTGTTAACATGCAACAAGAAACATGATTTACTTTAAGAAAAATAACAGATGGCATGAATGAGTGGGTCAAGAAATCATTTCAAGCAGCTGGCCCCATCCTCACCCAGTGCCCTCATAGGTAGGTGTGATATAGTGAGAAAAGCACAGGTTTGGGAGCCTGGCTTCAGACTCAGCACCACATCCCTTGGGTGAGATGCTTGATGATGCCACAGCAGTCCCCAACTCAGAAGGATAGCCATGTGGCAGGGCTGCCATGCAGAGAAGTCACATATGTATATGGTGCCAGCCTGGCACTGGGCTTGTGGTAACCCTCAATATGTGCCAGCTTCCAGAATTACTGTTGTCATGAGCCACACTGAACACATCTGATTTGAATGAATTTCTCTGGCATCATCTCGTCTGAGATTGCTATTGGCCTATGCATCATAAGTCTCTAAGAGGAGTGTCCATAAATACTTCTGACAATAGTCCTTGTGAGTCTGTGATTCTGCTGCCCCAGCATCATTTTGGGTCCCAGCCCCTTTCCTTGTAATTTCTTCTGAGCCAATGTACAGTTGAGAAAAATGCCCATCGGTTGGCCTCCCAGGAGCCCTCAAGTTAAGCTGACCTGAGAATTTCTGGTAGCTTTGCAACTCTGAGTCCAGTTTCTTCTAGTTAACTTTACCACCCTCTTCAATCATTTAAAAATTATCTCCTTATTCTCCCTTCCTTTACATTGAGGCAAAATTCTCATAAAGTTGACCATTTTAGTTCTTCAAAAAATTAAAAATATAATCAACCATATGATCCAGCAATTCCACTCCTGTGTAGATACCCAAAAGGAAAGTAGGATCTCAAAGAGATGTATGAACACGCATGTTTTTAGCAGCATAGTTCAGTAGCCAAAAGGTAGAAGCAACCCAAGGGTCTGTCTGTCAGCAGATGAATGGATGAACAAAATGTAGTATGTGCATGCAATGGGATATTACTCAGCCTTGAAAAGGAAGGAAACTCTGGCACCTACTACAATGTAAATGAATCTTGAGAACATTACACTAGGTGAAACAAGCCAGACACAAAAAGACAAATACTGTATGCTTACACTTCTGGAAGTTATCTAGCATAGTCAAATTCATAGAAACAAAGTAGAATGGTGGCTGCCAGGTGCTAGGGAGAGGGGGAAACAGAGTTAACTGTGTAATGCGTGCAGACTTTCAAATATGTAAGATGAGGAGAGTTCTGGAGATGGGTTGCACAATAGTGGGAATGCACTCAACCCTACTGAACTATACACCCAAAACTAATGAAACATTGTGTGCTAACTACACTCAAATAAAACTACACTCTTTCTAGTGGTTAAGATGGTAACCTTAAAGTTATGTTTATTTAAAATTAATTTTAATTAAAAATTAAAAAAAAACTTCCCATGTGTTTTTTAGAATAAGATGGTCACTATTAAATACCTTTTTAAGTTAGCCATTTCAAAGAGAACATAGTGACATGTAGAGTGTCATGATGTGGTGGGACCCACACTTCTCTCTAGTTCTGGAACATTTCATCACTTCATTCTCCTGCTGCTGCTATATTATCCCCAGTTCGCAGTTTGATTAGAGAGGAAACAGGGAAGTCTTATGGGATCTCTTCCTCTCCTGGCTGGCTTGCTCCACATGATCACAGGACCTGTGGCTGTACCACCTCAGCCTCCTTGCCACATTGGTGTCCCCAGCCTGCTCCTCTCCTGAGCTCAGGTGGCCACCTTGGTCTCTCTACTTGAGTTCTCCAGGGATTTCAAAATCAGCCTGATTCCTATCCCCCCAAGCAAGCCTAGCCACCTCTCCTATCTCCCTGCAAAGCCATCATATCATTCACGTTGTGCAAGTTAGAAACCTCGAGTTCATTCTTTACATGCTTTCCCCACTCTTCTTAATCCATCACCAGTTTCTCTGTCCTTTGCTCCCACAGTGTTCTTGAAATTCCTATGCTCTTTCACCACCACCCTGTTCAATCAGCTGTCCTCCCTTCCCTGGGCCTGCTGCCTTGGGCTCTCCCTGGACCCCTGCTACCTGCTGCTTCCCCACTCACGTGTCTCCCACAGCATGACTGATTTGTTATAAACCTAACTCTGATTATGACCTGCCACCCTCCTACACCTGGCTGCGGTTATGGGTTGAATTGTGCCCCCCGAAAAAAGATATGTTCAAATCTCACGCCTGGTACCTATGAATGGGGGCCTTGGCAGGTGTCATCAAGATGTAGGATGAGTTCTTAGTGGTACAGGGAGGGCCCTTAATCCAATATGACTGGAATCCTTATAAAGAAACACAGACACACGGGGAGAAGACCGCGTGAAGACAGGCAGAGATTGTAGCGACACAGCTGCTAGCCAAGGCACACCAAGGATTGCCAGCGATCCTTAGAAGCCAGGAGCCAAGGACGGAATACCTTTTCCCTCAGAGCCTCTGGTAGAAATCAACCTTGCTGCCACTAATCTGCCTCCAGAATGATGAGGGAATACACTGCTGTCTGTTGTCTTAGCATCCCCAGGCCCCAGATTTTGGTATTTTGTTTGGCAGCCCTCAGAAACTCACACACCTACAGACCTTGTGCTGGTCTTTTACTGCTTCTGGGCAAAGACTAAACCAGACCCAACACTGCTTGGGGTTCCCTGTGCAGCCTATTCCCCCATGCCCTCCTGCCTGCTCTCCCTTGCCCTCTGCACTCCAGCGACACTGGGCTTCTTGTAATTACCCAGATGAACACACTGGCTTCCTCCCTGCCCATTGCCTGCTCTGCCCTGCACACTCATTCCAGCCCCTCACCTGGTGACCCCCTGCAGATCTCCGCTGGAGGGAAGGCCCTGTGGCAGGACAGCCTTCTCCCGCCCAAACCAGGTGCCACCCTGGGAACTCCCCTTCCTCCACAGCCCCAGGCGCCTTCTAGTGACACACCTTCCAGGAGGGTCATTTCACCCACAGCTGGGGCTCCAAGAGGCAGGGATCTGATGGGTTTGCTCGCCCCTGTGTCTCTAATTGCCAGAAGTGCCTGGGCAGTCACCACAGGCATCACCCGAAGGAACAAGGGTGTTAGAATTTCATTAGCATAAACTAGGATGTTTGCAATGTTACAGAAGAAAGGTGTCCTACAAGAAAGGGCTGTAGTTAAAATGCAGAATCCTTGTTTTTTCCTCTCACAGCTATGTGTGGTTGGATTTTGCATCTCAGTCCTCATGGAGGATGATGGGCATCTGGGAGGAGGGGGACTGAGGGTTTAGCAGTAAGACCAGCCCTGCTTTGTAATTTTTGAGTTTTCTTAAGTTAAATATCCTTCTGTCCTATCTGAGTGATATCATCTGCTTGTTGCACCCTGTCCTTCTTTTTTCTTTTTTTACAGGGTGGCCTGCCCTCTGTAGGGTTTTAGCCAAAGCTCTGGTGGGATTTTGTTCGTTGTTTTTTTTTTTTTTTTAACCTTTAGTTTTTCTTTTCAGTTAGAAGCCATAATAGGTATCCCTGCTCTGAACAAAGAAGCCTATCAGCTGATGGCCAAGTTTTTATCTGTATTTTCAGGTTCACTACAATGTTGGCAAGAACCTGGCTGACAAGGGCAATCAAACAGCCGCCATCAGATATTACCGGGAAGCTGTGAGGTACTGCAAGCTACTTGTCTCATTTATACCCATGTCTTGCTTTAACTGTCTAGGATTTAAAAAGACCCCAACTTTAAATTTCTTTGCCAATTCCTGACAATTTAGTGAAGACTAACTACTGAGCATTTATAGACAGCTCGGTTTCTCTCTCTGCTTTCAGATTAAATCCTAAGTACGTACATGCCATGAATAATCTTGGAAACATCTTAAAAGAAAGGAATGAGCTGCAGGAAGCGGAAGAGCTGCTCTCTTTGGCTGTACAAATACAGTAAGCATTGGTTTTTATAATTACGCTAACGGCAAAGAGATGGACTCCTGCATTCTGGGGTCTAAGCCTTTCTTTTCTTTCTCTTTTCATTTAAAAAAAATGCTCTTCTAGACCAGACTTTGCTGCCGCATGGATGAATTTAGGCATAGTTCAGAACAGCCTGAAACGGTTTGAAGCCGCCGAGCAGAGTTACCGGACTGCAATCAAACACAGAAGGAAGTACCCAGATTGTTACTACAACCTTGGGCGTCTGGTAAGTGTTAGGTGTCCTATGGCTGCAGAAGAAAGGCTTGGTTTTTCCTTTTTATAATAAAATGATAGAAGCAACATTCAATGCTAGCACCCTACATCTTATAAAGTGATATGCCTATCACTTGAAGGTAACTATTTGATTTCCTTGTCTGTAACTTCTTAAGCTCTAATTAGAGAGCAATTCAGCTTGACTTAGCCAAGTTTAAGTTATCTGAAAGGCAACAGGTTATACCAAAGAATAAATTAGAATTTTTTCAGGTCCCTTGTGCCCTGTAAAACAGTACTCTGAGGGTCACTTCCTGATAAACATCAGTTTCTTTGTTTTTAAAACATGAATAAAAGCAGAGATTAAAAAAACAAACCCATAATGTGGTTTCTGAGTTTCCATCTTCTCCTTCTTCCAAGGACAGCTCCCCACATCCCTAGACATTCATACTAACTGTTCTTCCTGTAAAAGAAAGCTCAGAGGGATTTATTTGAAAGGGCCTCCAGATTCTCCAAAGGAAACAGGAAAGAATGTGTTCCATAATGACTTCCTTTTTTTAGTTACTGCTAAAGATCTGATTGCTCCTGATTGTCTTTTCTTATACTTTATTTCTTTATTCAAATAAATATTACAACAATAGCTAAAACAATAAGTTCAGTAATCCTAAAATCTGAAAACATGCATTGGTAAATGATGTGGATCCAGTTATTGCTTCTGAAAAACCTCCATGAGGATGCACAGCTTAATCCTTAGAGCTCTGGATTTTCTTAATGAAGAACCGTACACACAATGATGTGAGGTGATGGAGGTGGTATAACTAGCCTTATTGTGGTGATCATTTCACAATATACACATTTATCACATCATTACATTGTACACTTTAAATTTATGTAGGTTCTATGCCAATTATATCTCTGTATGGCTGGAGAAAAAAGACCCACAAACAGCAAAATTCCTTAAATAAGAATGGTTATATTCTCCCTTCAGTTAAGCCTTTAATTTTATTTTAAGAAACTAACTGCATATGTTCCTAATATATTCAGTTTGATTAAACGAAATTGTTTTTTTAAAAGATTTTATTTATTTATTCATAGACACAGAGAAAGAGGCAGAGACACAGGCAGAGGGAGAAGCAGGCTCCATGCAGGGAGCCCGACGCGGGACTCGATCCGGGGTCTCCAGGATCATACCCCGGGCTGCAGGCAGTGCCAAACCGCTGCACCACGGGGGCTGCCCGATTAAATGAAATTGTTAAGGGAAAAAGGGTTTGCTCATTTTAGCCAAACTGGAATACATATATAATGATGTAACTTTTAAAAGAAGTTTAGAGGGGTGGCTGGGTGGTTCAGTCAGTTAATCATCTGCCTTTAGCTCAGATCATGATCCCAGGGTCCTGGGATCAAGCCCCATGTCTGGCTCTCTGCTCAGCAGGGAGCCTGCTTCTCCCTCTTCATCTGCCTGCTGCTCCACCTACCTGTGTGTTCACGTGTGCACATGCTTTGCTCTCTCTGTCAAATAAATAAGATCTTTTTAAAAGAAAGAAAAGAAGTTTAGACATAATTTTCCAGATTTCATCCAGACTTGCCTCACAGGTAGGATTACATCAAAATTGTTTTAAAGAGATACCTGTTTATCCTCACTTTAAGGGTCCTGAAACTTCTTGGTTTTATGGAGTCCTTGTGTTAGCAAAACCAGTGGTTTCTAAAACTGGTTGAATACTAAGTCCTTCTGCCCCATCTCAGATTTATGGAATCAGAGGCTCCATGGATGATCCACATTTACAAAGCAAACCAACAAAATTCTCCAGTCATTCCAATACCATATTGTTGGCCCTATATTTGGGAAGATCTATCTGAGCCCTGAGAAGACAGACCAACCAGCTCAGAGCAGAAGAGACTGTTTGGGGAGGGCAACTTGGAAATCATGAATTGCTTGAAGATTGTTGAAAATCCAGGGTTCAGTTCTTAGCATGATGGGAATGTATGTGGTCTAAACTGCTGTTTATGGATCAGGTAGCCATGATTGTGGGTGTCATGGAGGCAGAATTTTATGAAGGGAGGAAACTAAGTGGTAGGAACGTGTGGCTAATGATGGTGAAGTTTTACCTCTCCTACTATGTATACGTCACTTTAAATGGACAGGTACTGTACGTGTTATACATTTTAAAGTGAAGTGGCTTGTGTGTTTATTATTTAAAGAATAAAAAACATGTTTCAGTTAGTATATACCCTGGGAAGATACCATCTCTATATAGATGCTCTAGTGTGGAAAAGAGGAATTGTTTCTTCCTGTGCTCAGAGGAAGGTGGCAGTAATGTGACTGAATCCATGCACCAGCAAGGTGTTTAAACAAGGAAAATTGATGGCAGGTGATTCCTGTTGTCCCACATAACTTTCTTCAGAGCCTTTCAACCTTTCCCACATTTCTATTTTCCTTTTACATTTTAAAAATCTGTGCTTTATGATCTAGTTACATACATTGATGTTGAAATAGTTTTCTCTATGAAACCTAAGATTTGAGGAAAGCTGAAATTATTCTAGTGAGAAGCTGTTGAAGGACAATAAAAAACTTTCCTCTACCCTCTTATGTTCTTTCTTTGGGGCCCTACAAACTAGACTGACTACAGACAGATTAACAAGAGAAAAAAAAACAATTTTTTAACACATACATTGTGCATACACATGGGAAAAACAGTGATGAGTAACTCAAAGGGGTGGTTAGAACGTGGGCTTCTATAGCATCTTAACAAAGAACAATACATTTGTAAATAAGTGACAAGAGAAAGGAAGAGATTTTAGGTTTCCAAGGGTGGCAAACTGTCAGAAGGTAAATACATATGGAAACTAAGGTTTGTGTGGGTCCTTCTTCATGGCCATAAAATGCCCCCAGGAGAAGGGGGCATATGGCAGCCCTTATGTCTCTGTTTCTGCTTTTAGTCAGATAAGGGAAGCTCCATGAAGGCTTCTTTCTGCATCTGTCGAATCTCAAATGTCTTTAATGCAATAATCCTTATGTCAGACCAGTATATTTGGGATGGCATATTTTGATCCTGTACATTGTTCTCTCTGGGGCAGAGGGTAGGGAGACAGTAAAACTTCACCACAGTGATACAAGTAGAGACCAAAAACTTCAACCACATGCAAGGCAGGGTGGATCCTTCCAAAGTCAATGAAGTAAGAATGAGGGATGGGAGCAGGTTGGGTATTATCTGAACACTTGCAGGGATTACTGTTTCTATTGACTGTGCCTATTACACTAGGACTTGCATGACATTATATTTGATATCCATATGAGTTCTTTCATTTTTTTTCTTCTGTTTCGGAGGTAACTTTCTAGGTTATTGTTTGCAAAGTGAGTGTATCTGCCTCAGTCTTCTAGGTCACACTTAAGGCTCTAATGCTTGGCAGTCTGTTTCCTTCCCCTAGTAACGGCCTGTCACTGCAATTCTGTGGGGTTTGGAAAATAGAGAATTTATGCTAAGTACGCCCTCTAACAGGTCCTAAGAAAGGGAAACAGAATATAAAAGTCAGGATTTTATCCATGGGCTCTAGTCCTTGGAAAGTCCTTCCCACTTTCATGTAGAATATCATCTGTAGTATTAAGTATATTAGACCTGGTACCACTCTCTCTGTATATTGTTTACTAATTATGCTACTGTGAAATGATCTTCCTGTGTTCCCTTCTGCCAACTGTTCTTGCTTATTTAAAGATTTTGCTCTCCATTGTTGTTTAATTATACAGCTTTTGCCTGCTTGACAGCTTAAAAGCATTAAGAGCTTAATCTTTAACAGCTCAACCAACACATTTATATATTGATGAATAAGATGAACCTAATAACTTAAAATTTTCTTTTTAAAAATCCTCCTTAGTCACTCTTTAGTAACAAGAGGCAGAAACATGCTTTGATTTCTGCACTGAATGAGGAGATGTAATGCAGTTTCCTTGTAAAATAGAAAATTGAGAAAAAGTGGCTTATTTGGGACATGTTACTATTAGAGAATTTCAGTAATAGTGACTGGAGATATTATTAGAGGTGATTCATTATGCAAGGACTGATTGTATCAATCAGGAGCCATTCAGGAAAACAGAAACTGCTAAGTATTGTATCTTATTTTTATTTTATTTAGTTTGTTTGTTTGTTTATTTAAATAATCTCTACACCCAATGTGGGGCTCAAACTCACAATCTCAAGATCAGGAGCTGCATGTTTTCCAACTGAGTCATCCAGGTGCCCCTATGCTAAGTATTTTAACTTAGGGAACTCCTTCCATTTCTGCTCTTCTAGCCTTCTCACAATTGTCTAGCCATGATGTTAACTGTGAGAGTATAAGGAAACCCTGTAGGAAACAAACAGGAGGAAGTGGTGCCACCAAAACATAGGGCTCAGAGAAGGGAGCCCCTGTAATCCCAGGAGCTGATATCATGAAGGAGGACCACTGCTTCCAGCCTGGAACTGTGAAGTTGGGGTGAGGGGGACATAGCTCCTTCAGATGCACTAAGAAGGGAAAGAAGGGACAGTGTGAGAGTGAGGGAAAGGATATCTCTTCCAACCATCTGATGTCATCTGTGACTCCTGTGGCAGAAAGCTAGCAAGGAGCAAAGTGGCAAAGGACCCTGAGAAATGCATTTTGCAAAGTATAGAAGGATGGGCATGAGGCTAATATGTAAATAATGTGTGCATTACCTGTCTGCTTTCTGCATGGGTAGTTCTGGCCAAATCACTGTTTTTCTCTATATTTCCCTGAAATATAGATGCTACAGAAGGGGAAGTTTGAAACAATATAAAAGTAAAGTAAATTTTACCTGATTTAGTCTGTTGTTGTTCTTCAGGAAATAGTAATAATAAGAAGAAAGAATAAAATATGTGAAGAATTTTGTTGTTGTTGTGTACATGTTGTGTACATGTTGGCTTGCCCCTGTGTGTTAGAAAGAATGTCGCCACAGATTTTGTCCCAACTGATTCAGATGCATGTTACTTGCAAGAGAGAATGGACCAAGAAATCAGTGGAAAGTCAAATATAAGCAACTAATTGTTGGTATAACTAGCACCCTAAATTATTTTACTTTTTGAACTTTTCACATCTTCTCCTCACTTATGGGGTGAAATATCATGATTTGAGTTTCTGAGTCTCATGGAAAATCTGACAACATCATTAGCAAATGGATATCCATAAGGTTTCCATAATTGAACCTTTCTTTAAAAAATTTTTTTAAGATTTTATTTATTTATTCATGAGAGACACAGAGAGAGAGGCAGAGACATAGGCAGAGGGAGAAGCAGACTCCCTGTGGGGAGTCCATGCAGGACTCGACCCCAGAATCCTGGGATCACAATCTAAGCCAAAGGCTGACACTCGGCCACTGAGCCACCAAGGTGCTCCCATAATTAAACCTTTCTTTTCCTTACCTAATATGCCACCTGTTTGCTGTGTGAGTCAGAGCGAAAGTCAGGATGTTTCTGTTGTCTAATAAAAAGACTTGCCAGTAAGGAAGGAAATTGCCTTCAAGTCCAATAAATTGTTATCATTTCTAGTTTTTGCAGACAGAGGCAAAGGAACTAAGTTCATTCAAATGGGATGGGCATTTGAACTGAGTGAAAGACTGCAAGAAGTTCACCTGCTAAAAAAAATCTATCACTTCCTCACTTGGAGTGCTTTTATTAACTGCAAAGTGAGAGCCACCATTTTGTGTTGTCATCAGTGTTAAACAATGTACCCTCTCAAAAGAAAGCAACAGATAGGAGCACCTGGGTGGCTCAGTGGTTGAGCGTCTGCCATTGGCTCAGGTCGTGATCCCAGGGTCCTGGGATTGAGCCCCACATCAGGCTCTCCACAGAGAGTCTGCTCCTCCCTCTGCCTCTGTCTCTGCCTCTCTGTATGTCTCATGAATAAATAAATAAAATCTTTGGGGGGAAAAAAAAGAAAGCAACAGATAATTCTCTCCTTCCTAAAGGAGGCAAACAGGCTTCGAATTGCCAATGCAGGGGTGCCTAGCTGGCTCAGTCTATAGAGCATGTGACTTTTGATCTCAGGGTTGTGAGTTCAAGCTCTGCATTGGGTGTGCAGATTACTTAAAAATAAACTTTTTAAAAAAATTGCCAAGGGGTTTCGTATTCCAAGGAATTTACTAAAAGTATGTCTAACACACTCATTTTGGATGTTGCTTAGATGTAGGCAGGAAGAGCCTACCCAGAGCATCATCACAAGATGAATTTGACACATGTAACTGTTAATCACATTAAATATTTTCTTTACCCCTTTAAATAATACCTTATCAAAGGTAAACTATGTGGTCTTTCTAGAAAAAGTAATGATTAGATTTTTAATTTCTCTCTCCAGGAATCTCAAATATTATTTGACACCTAGAATCAATAAATTATGAATTACAGTTAAGAGGTTGTAGGCTCAGGAACTAGACTACCTGGTGCTCAATCCATCTTTCCCATTTCTAGATGTGTAACTTTGAGCAAATGACTTAATTTCTCTGTGCCTCAGTTGCTTCATCTGTAAAATGGGGCTAGTTATCTACTTCAGTGAGATATTTTGAGGATCAAATGAGTTAATATGAAAACTTAGAAGCTCAGTAAGCACAAGTTAGGCTTTGTTTAGTTTGGGGTTTGGTTTTGGTTATGTCTTAGAGGAAGCAATGACATTGAAATACTGATATTTAAGGGCCGTGCTTTATTTTCAGTATGCAGATCTAAATCGCCATGTGGATGCACTGAACGCGTGGAGAAATGCAACCGTGCTGAAGCCAGAACACAGTTTGGCTTGGAACAACATGATCATACTTCTCGATAACACAGGTACAGAAAGGCCCCTTGCATAATTCAGAGGACACTGTGCCACAGTGCCATTGGATAATCAGCAGATTAAATGTACATTCTTTCTCTAGTGTGTATGAGTTAAAAAGAATTAACATGGGATAATATTTTACATGACAAAAATTATTCTTCTAGAAAACAGAGTTTCCTTTGACAAATATGTATGTGTGGGGAAATGGTGCACTTAGAATTAGTGCTGAGCCATGGGGGAAGGTGGGTGCTAGGATCTCATTTCTCCTGGAGCCTGTCATCTAGCATTGTCCATCATCTAGGGTGCTGGAGGTACCCAAAAGTGATCAATAATGGCTTTTGGGTTAATAAATGCGAGGTCCATGCTCTAAAGTTCACAGACTATTTTTAAAGGAGATGCCCTCAAACCTACACTGAGAGTCATGGATTCCTATTTTAGATCTAATGCTAACAGATTTGATGTGGTTTCTCAGCCAGGATCTTAGCTCTGTGGACTGAAAGTTACTCTACTCCCCTTCTTTTGAAAATCCAAGTATTCGGTAAGAAATGACAGTTTTAATTTGGCGGAATTTCAAGCCAGTGAGCCATCTAAGCAGTGTGGAGAAAAGATACACACTTGTTTCTAATGGAGGTATAAAATGTGTACTTCAACATGATAAATACTCAGTTATTAAAGTGTTACTATGGTTACTTTTATTCTACAGACTTGTTTTCTCATTTAGGAATAACTGGTATCTGGGGAAAAATTAAAACTAGGTTTTATATGCTTTTATAGCATTTAATCAAAGGCTGTTTATATATTATGTCAGAATTGGGCTGGACTGCAGTGGTTTTGCAACTGATCTTATCGTGTGTGTGTTGTGTGTATGTATATGTGTTGTGTATAGTGCATATGTGTGTGTTGTGTGTTTGTGTGTTGTGTATGTGTTGTATATATGTCTGTTGTATATATATTGTATGTGTACATGTGTTATGCATTCTTCATTGATTTTCTTAAGGAATTATTCATAATCATTGTGTACAATGCACATAAGCACTGTTTAAGAAACAGAATGAACTACCAGTAGAATGTTAACATGTTTTTTTTAAGTTTTTCTATGGTTTCCTCACAGGTAATTTAGCCCAAGCTGAAGCAGTTGGAAGAGAGGCACTGGAATTAATACCTAACGATCACTCTCTGATGTTCTCGCTGGCAAATGTGCTGGGGAAGTCCCAGAAATACAAGGTGTGTAAACTGCAGGCTGAGATTTCTTGCAATTAATGCCAGCATCTGACAGAAGCCATAAATGTTACTTCTGCCCAGTTAAATTCCAAATCAGGCCAAAAGAGCAAGGGCAGGGCACCAGTGTGGCTTGGTCAATTTGCTTCCTAGAGAAGTTGCCCAAAAGATGGATTTGCAGGGTCAGACTTCATGTCTTTTCTCATCAGAGTTCATTACCATTGCTCTAACATGGGGAGGGGAGGAGAAGACCACAGAAGAGACAGTGACAGCTCCTCCTAGCAGATGCCCCAGCCCCCACTCTGGCACAAAGCCCTTTGATGCTCTCCCTTGCTGTCAGGCTGGAGCCCTGGTTTATTTGTTGATGCCGTCTTCTGCAGTAAAAGAATTACAGCCCATGGGGAATACAGGACTAGTTCTTGCTGCTTCCAGGTTTTTCCTCATCTATAGTTACGTTGTAGGTCATTCTCAAGGCCCTGGAAGTGTCTGACCAAGGGAACCACAAGATACAAGATCAGGGCTCATTCTGACCAGGCTTCCAGGACTGGCCAGGAGTGACTGTGAATCAGAAGGGGCCGATGCCTGTGCCTCTAAAGGGACTCAGTAACACCCATGATCACAAACTTTATGTATCAGAACCAGTGAGGGAGTGTGTTTGATGCAGTTGCCCAGATTCCTCCCCACAAGAGATTCTATCTCAGTTGGTGGGGTACAGGGGCTAGGACTTTTAACTAGGATCCTGGGTTTCTAAACACAGATGTTACAGAAAACACAGTTCCAGAAGCAGTGCCTTAATCCCTTGTGACAGAAGGATTTTCTTTTGGAATCTGGAGCTGTATCTGATTCTGATCACACTAGATCTAAAGAAGGTGATTAATTCATATTTATTCCATGTTATTTAGTTCTCCTCTGTTCATCAGATATCATTATCAGCACAGTTTTCCATAACAACAGTAAGATATTTCATGCACGTCTCTCATTTTTAAATATCAGAGAGGGTATCCCTGGGTGGCTCAGAGGTTTGGCGCCCGCCTTCAGCCCAGGGCATGATCTGGGGTCCCGGGATCAAGTTCCACATCACACTCCCTGCGTGGAGCCTGCTTCTCCCTCTGCCTGTGTCTCTGCCTCTCTCTCTCTCTCTCTCTCTCTCTCTCTCTCTCTCTCACTTTCACTCACTCTCTCTCTCTCTGGGTCTCTCATGAATAAATAAATTTCTTTAAATAAAAATCTTTAAAAAATATATCAGAGAGTTTAATAGCTTCATATTAATGTTTCTAGATTTTGCTCCAGAGAAGCCTTTTTTTAAAGATTTTTATTTATTTGGGAGGGAGAGAGAGAGAGAGAGAGAGAATGCGAGAACACGAACATGAGCAGGGGGTGGGGGGAAGGAAGAAGCAGGCTCTCCAATGAGCAGAGAACCCAACTTGGGACTTGATCTCAGGATCCCAGGATCATGACCTGAGCTGAAGGAAGACACTTAACGACTGAGCCACCCAGGTGCCCCTAGAGAAGCTTTTTGAAGGGGTTAATTTTTGTTTTTTATGGGTTTACCTGTGTAGAGCTGGGGGAAGAAGGTAAGGTTTATGGTTTTCCCTTCCATTGACCTTTCCAGCCATCTTTGTCAACCTAAGATGGCTCAGAAGTGTCCAGCCACCAGCTACAGCCAGTCATTTTCAAGATACAGCTTATGTAACCATTGTATTGATTTCTTTCTATCATCCCACAGTCTATAAACTAGAATCCTAATAAAGTGACCGAAATTTGGCTTCTAGTTCACTTGTTCATTTTTTTCTAGATAAAGTAGACAATACTACATAGAGC